AGGTATGGGCATACCCACTGTATTTACTGTGCAGCTGTTTGACTAGAAGTGCTGGATTTAACTTCACTTCGGCTATTAATGAATTATAGCAGTATGTCCGAGGTCCTTAACCTCGGACCTATCCTTACACTATTCCCCCCTCGAAGTCATTCACTTGTGAATGATTAGTGTGGAAGATGAGTGTAGATGGGGGTAGTCAATATAAAAATGTATGACATGAAGTCGTGTTTTTGGCTGCAGTCGAGGTAAAAATGCATGACATAAAGTCATGTGTTATAGCTGTTGTTGAAGTAAAATTGCATGACATGGAGTTATGTGTTATGGCCGTAGCCGAAGTAAAATTGCATGACATGGAGTCATGTGTTATGGCCGTAGCCGAAGTAAAATTGATGACTCAATCACTGTGGCCAGAGCCGAAGTAATATAGGTGACGTGTGGTCATTATGGCTAGACTCGAAGTAAAATAGGTGACTCGGGGTCACTATGGCTAGAGCCGAGGTAAATAATGATGACCAGAGTCATAGCGGCCAGAGCCAAAATAATAAGTAATGACCGGAGTCATGTGGCCGGAGCTGAGATAATAAGTAATGATCGGAGTCATGTGGCCGAAGCCAAGGTAATAAGCAATGACCGGAGTCATAAAGGTCGGAGCCGAAATAAAAGTAATGATTGAAGTCATGTGGTTAGAGCTGAAATAAAATGTGTGACTCGGGGTCACTGTGGCCGTAGCTAAAGTAAAGATGCATGACCCATAGTCATGTGTTATGGTTGTAGCTGAGAATGATCACTTGAAAATGATGACTTGAAAATGACGACTCGAAAGTGACAATTTGCAATCTCATGAGCCATAATAATGGAAGTCAAGCTTTTGAGAGTCATGCTTTATAGAGTTAGGATCAAAACCAATTTTTGTAGAGTTAGGATCAAAACCAGTTTTTGTAGAGTTGATTGAATGCCAATTTTGGTAGCTGGAGATGCCTACCACAGAATCCCACCTTGAGATGCCCATAAGAAAATCTTAGTCTCTCGAGTCATAGCATAAAATCAAACTCCTTTGAGGGTTGTGCTTTGTAGAGTTAAGATTGAACTGAGCTTTCATAGAACAAATGAGCTGAGAAGCTGATAGTTGATGGATGCAAGCTCTTGTAGATCGAATGAGCTAAAAAAGCCAATAGCTAATGGGCTCAAGGGCCAATAGTATTTTCTGATGAACTGATGAGTTTAAAAGCTGATAACATATTTCTGAGTCTTCCAAGCCAAGGAGTTAACAAACTCACGAGACTTGTAAGAATTCATTCTAAACATAGAACTTGACAAGATACAATTAGTTCATCAATAATCAATAATATATGAGATGCATCAACATTAAACTGGCACAATAATTTAGAATTAAATATAAATGTCTGTGGCATGGGTCATCAAAATAAACAATAATAAGATATGAATATTTAAAATATACTCAGGTTGAGTTATTCAAGCAGCAAATTAAACGCATGCCAAGCAAAGTATAGAAGTTTATGTTTATGTATTCCCACTCCCCCTCTCAAAGAGAGATTTATCTCTTTAAGTTAGAACTAATAATAAAGACCACTAGCTTGTGGATACCATTAGCTTGTAAATTATTCCACCATTTGTAGGAGGCTCCACAAATGTATAAATAAATGTCATTTAAGCCACTCACTTTTAGTTAAAACATGAAGAATATATTATATTCAATATATTCAATAAATAGGTGCTTAGCATATCTAATTAATTAATGGCCCATGAGAGGTGGAACAGGATGGCTAGTGAAATGGCAAGCTGGCTGCAAGCTTGTTGACTTGAAAAGTTGGCGAAGTAAACCAACTAGCTACAAGCCGAGATCTCTAGAGTAGATTCAAAATGATTAATGTGGCTTTAGGAGGCTAAGTGCCAGTGTTTTAGATTTCTTTTTAGTTTA